ATAAAGGTCCATCAACAATTTAAACTTTGTTAACTGGAAAGGATAGAACAAATATGTTATTCAGATATCCCATGCCTCACTAAACTATGATACAAATGAGGAAGACAACTGTTGCCTACAACATAATATGGCAGGTAAACTTAAAAGATTGTTTTCAATCATTGGTGCTGAAACAATCAGGTATCAATACTCAAAAGACAACCTTAGCCAAGCACAGTAGTACACCTGTAATTTCAGCAATCTGGAAGTCTGAGGCAGGAGAATTGCAACTTCCAGGACAGCCTTAGCAATTTAGTGAGACCCTCAGCAGATTAGGGAGATCCTGTCTCAAAATAAAAAATAAAAAGGGCTGGGAATGTGATTCAGTGGTAAAGCTCCCCAGAACTAACCAACCAACAAACAAACCAAAATCTTTGATCCATACTTTGTACCCCATACCAAAATGAATGACATAAATCATAGCTCTACATTTAAATCTAAAACTATAAACCTTCTAGAATACAATGTAGGAGAAAATGTTTGTGGCTTAAAGGTAGGCAAAAATTACCTATACAAAACATGAAAACATGGACCATAAAAAAATAAATAAAATGGGCTAGACACTGTGGCACATGCCTGTAATCCCAGCTACTCATGGAGCTGAAGCAGGATTATGGCAAATTGAAGGCCAAGCTAAGCAATTTAGGGAGAGCCTATGTCAAAATAAAATCAAAAAGGCTGAGGGCATGCTTAAACTTCATTGGTAGAGCATCCCTGGGTTCAATCCCTCACACAGGAAAAAAAAAATTAGACCCAATAGATGAAAACTTCTAATCTTGGAAGGACTGTTAAAAAGTTGGGCTTGATAGCTCACATTTGTAATCACAAGGACTCAGAAGGCTGAGAAAGGTGGATTGAAAATTTAAGGCCAGGGGCTGGGGATGTGGCTCAACTGGTAGCGCACTCACCTAGCATGCGTGAGGCACTGGTTTCGATTCTCAGCACCACATAAAAACAAAATAAAGATATTGTGTCCACCTAAAACTAAAAAACAAATATTAAAAAAAAAATTTGAGGCCAGCCTCAGCAACTGAGATCTGGAACAACACTTACATGGAAACAACTCAATTTAAAAATGGCCATATATTTAAACAGACACTTCACCACATAAGAGAAAAAGATGGCAAATAATCACTTGGAAAAAAGTTCAAAATTATTATCTACTGGGGATATAAAAATTAAGAACATAGACGATACCTCTATACACCTGTTAGAATGGCTTAAACAAAAATAAGTTGACAGTAACAATTGATATAGAGTATATAGAACAACTGGAACATTGCTAGTGATAATACAAAAGTGGTATAGCCACTTTAGAAAACAGGCCGTGTAAAATAAGTATGTATTTATCATTTTACCTAACAATTCCACTCCCAGGTAATTGCCCAGAGAAACAGAAACATATGTCTGTCCCAAGACTTGGATGCAAATGTTTCTAGCAGCTTTATTTTTAATTGCCAAAAGTTGAGAACAAACCAAATGTTCATCAAGTGATAAATGGATAAATACATGTGGTACAGCTATACGATAGACTACTACTCACCAGTATGAAGGAACAAACAATTGATACACAGCACTAGGTAAATATTTGGGGGGCGGGTACTGGGGATTGAACTCAGGGGCACTCAACCACTGAGCTACATCCTCAGCCCTATTTTGTATTTTATTTAGAGACAGGATCTCCTTGAGTTGCTTAGTGCCTCACCTTTGCTGAGGCTGGCTTTGAACTTTTGCCTTAGCCTCCTGAGCCGCTGGATTACAGGCCTGTGTCACCAGGCCCAACTGTGAATTGGTTTTTGTTTTGTTTTTCAGGGTGCTGAGGATGCCAGCATCTGGGGGTACCTGGGACTTTGCATATGCTAGGCAAGTCCTTACGTTGAACTACAAGCCCTCAGCCCTGGATGAATCTTAAAACATTGTGCTGAATGAAAGAAGCCAAGCTCTCATGTCTTTGTTTATATGACATTTTGGGAAAATAATCAAAATTATAAAAACAGATATCAGGTCATTAGTTGCCAGGGACTAAAGATAGGGGAAGGAAACTGAGTACACAAGAACACAGGGGAATTCTGGTGTATGATTATACTGATAGTTATACAACTGTATATCCTGGACAAAATTCATGAAATTATACCTACAAAGCGAATATTATTGTATGCCTTTTATTTCTCAAAAAACACGACTTTTATAAAAAAAGAATGTAAGCAGGGCACAGTGTTGCACATCTGTATTTCCTGTGACTCAGGAGGCTAAGGCAGGGGGATTACAAATTCAAGGTCAGCCTGGGCAACTAGGTGGGACCCTGCCTCAAAATAAAAATTTAAAAGGGCTGGGAATGTAGTTCTGGGCTAAAGTACCCCTGAGTTCAATCCCCAGTACCTAAAAAAAAAAAGGAAAAGAAAAAAGTGCAGTTTGGCAGTTCCTCAAGAAGTTAAACACAGGATCCAGCAATTTCACTCCTAGGTATACACCCCCCAAATAGTTGAATGTTGGTACTGGAACAGACATAAAAGCATTATTTACCATGGCCAAAAAGGTGGAAACAACTTAGATGTTCATCAAAAGATGAATGAATAAACAAAATGTAGTATATACATATAATAGGGTATTATTACCATGAAAAGGGATGAAATGACATATTTTACAAAATGGATGAACCTTGAAAATGTTATGTTAAGCACACATATACACACAAGGACAAATAGTACATGATTCCATTTATAAGACTATTTAAAATAGACAAATTCAAAGAGACAGAAAGTAGAATAAACCAGAGGCAATGGTGTACTCATGTAGTCCCAGTGACTTTGGGAGGGGGACAAAGGCAGGAAGATCCCAAGTTCAAGGCAATTTAGTGAGAGCCTATCTCAGAATAAAATTAAAGGGCTGGGAATATAGCTCAGAGGTAGAGCACCCTGAGTTAAATCACCATCACAGGAAGGAAGGAAGGAAGGAAGGAAGGAAGGAAGGAAGGAAGGAAGGAAGGAAAATCACTTAAGATTGGGGGAGGAGAAGGGGGCTTATTTAATGGGAAATGGAGTTTCTGTTTGGGGTGATGAAAAGTTTTGGAAATGGAAAGTGTGTGATGATCACATAACATTATGAATATACTCAATGTCATTGAATTAGTCACCTATAAGTGATTTAAATAATAAATTTTATTTACATATTTTACCACAATTTAGGAAAAAAAGCTGGGTACAGCAGCACATGCCTGTAATCCCAGCAACTCAGGAGGTAGAGACAGAAAGATCTTGAGTTCAAAGCCAGCCTCAACAAAAGTGTGGCACTAAACAACTCAGTGAGACCTTGTCTCTAAAATACAAAATAGGGCTGGAGACGTAGCTCAGTGGTTGAGTGCCCCCTGAGTTCAATCCCCAGTACAAAAAAAAAAAAAAAAAAAAGCCAGCCTCAGCAACTTAGTGAGGCCCTAAGCAACTCAGTAAGACCCTGTCTTTAAAAAAAAAAAATCACAAATATATATATATGTTTTAAAAAGAGATGGGAATTGGGGATGTGGCTCAGTGGTTAAGCACCACCCTTGGGTTCAGTTCCCTGGTACCAAGGTAAAAAAAAAAAAAAAAAGCAGATCTAATTTTGAATACTAGCTGTGCCATACATATACCAACTATGTCCCCTTGAGCAAATTACTTAGAACCCCTAGTTAGAGTGGTTGGGTTGTACTGCACTTAAAATAAATCAAACAAACAAAATTCAAAACATTGAAATCTTAGTACATTAAATAAAAATTCATTTGATGGGGCTGGGAGTATAGTTCAGTGGCAGAGCATGTGCTTAGCATGTGCAAGGCCCTGGGTTCAGTCACTAATGACAACAAATCATTTCTTATTGTAACTGTCTGTTTGCTATTCACTGTGAGTCAGGGGAGATGGGGGGGTTCTGTTCTAAAAGACACTTCAAGTAACAATGGAGATTTCACAGTTTCTGGATACCACAGCAGGGACAGAGAAAAGCTGCAGAATCATGTAGAGGTACTTCTGGCCCCGTTCAACTGGGAGGGATTGGGAAATGTCGGGGAGCAAATGGAAGGAACGCTGAGGGACAACACTGTTTCTCCCATACTTCAAAGTATCTTGATTTCTTCGTCTATAAAGCAGGCTTGAGAATTTTTAAATTTCAGGTTATTGTAAGGATAAAATAACATGTTGTACTTAAATTGCTTAGTACTCATAATGAACATTCAAAAAATGTTAGTTCTGTCGAGCCCTATGATTTCATCTTGAGGATTAATAACAAGATATGGGGGCTGGGATTGTGGCTCAGTGGTAGAGTGCTCGTCTAGCACATGCATGGCCCTGGGTTTGAGCCTCAGCACCACAAAAAAAATAAATAAATAAAATAAAGGTATTGTTTCCAACCAATTCCCCCCAAAAAAAATGTTAAAAAAAATATCATGATATGGGAGAACAAACATCTTTCCTCCAACTTACCAATGTCATGTTCCAGACAGAGCTCTTTTTAGTTGTGAGAAAAATAAACCTACTAGAAACAGCTCAAGTCAATGAAAGTTTAGGGTAAGGATAAAGAAATCTGAAAAAAGCAAAAATGAATCATGGCACCTTAGGGAGGGCAGAAAACAGTCATCTTGTCCCTGAGAAAACCACTCACTTTCTCTCTTTCTCTCATATTCTCTCTCTCTCTCTCTCTCTGATAGTTTGTCTGTTGCTATAAATGCACCTGCTTGGCTTTCTTTTAGTTCCTCCCAACTGTCTTCCACTGGGCTCTACTCCTTCAGGAATCTGGCTTGAACATAGTCCATAAATAACACACTGCCCGGTCCTTGGTTCTTCATAGTATTTCATTTCAAGCAGCTTGCTTGAATTGATAACTTCCCTCTGTGTTATTTCCTCAAGGAGAAATGTGTTAGGTCAAGCACATCTTTTGCAACTTGGCTGCATAAACCATAGAGAGCTGACCTGTCTGTGTTTGTCTCCTTTCAGATACTGTCTTCATGCCTTGTGCTGTCAGCCTAGGTCCTTCACATTTCCTAGTCTGGTCCAGTGACTTGCTGATGAAAATCTGCTGATGAGAATGAATTATACGAATATAGAGGGTAGGTGGGTCAGCACTCAGAAATACGGTTAGTAAAAGTAAACAATGTAATAAAAATTTATTGTGTTAATTTTATATATGAATAATGGATTCTTAGTTTATTTTTTGTGGTGTTAGAGATTGACCCATAGCCTCACACAAACTAGACAAATACTCACTAAGCTATATCCCCAGCCCAAGAATTTCATCTTAATTCATTTCTTTCTTTCTTTTTTTTTTTTTTTTTTTTTTGGTACTAGGGATTGAACTCAGGGGCACAGGGGCACTTAATCACTGAGCCACATCCCCAGCCATTTTTGTTATCTATTTTGTTGACAGGGTGCCTCTAAGTTGACGAAGCTGGTCATGAACTTGGAATCTTCCTGCTTCAGCCTCCTGAGTCTCTGGGATTACCTGTGTGTGCCACCAAACCCATCTTTTGGTACATTTTTCTATTATCGTATTCATCTTTTTATTTTCTTCTCTTTCTATTTATTTATTTATTTATTTGGTACCAGGAATTGAACCCAGGGATGCTTAACCACTGAGCTACATCCCCAGCCCTATTTATTTATTTGTTTGTTTATTTGAGATAGGATCTGGCTAAGTTGCTTAGGGCCTCACTAAATTTCTTAGACTGGCTTTGAATTTGAAATCCTCCTGACACAACATCCTGAACCATTAGGATTACAGGCATAAGTAATCACACTCAGCCATCTTTTTCTTAATGATAAGTAAGACACTATTTTTTAAAAAATATTTTTTGGTTGTAGATGAACACAATACCTTTATTTATATTTATGTGGTGCTGAGGATTGAACCCAGTACCTCACATGTGCAAGGTGTGTGCTCTACCACTAAGCCACAACCCCAGCCCAAGAAACTATTTTTTTTTTGTTTTAGGTGGATACAATATCTTTATTTTATTTTTATGTGTTGCTGAGAATCGAACCCAGGTGCCTCACGCATGCTAGGCGAGCGCGCTACCACTTGAGCTACATCCCCAGCCAAGAAACTATTTTTTTTTAATATTTTTTTAGTTGTAAATGGACACAATATCTTTATTACTTTATTATTTTTATGTGGTGCTGAGGATTGAACTCAGGGCCTCACATGTGCTAGGCAAGTACTCTACCACTGAGCCACAACCCCAGTCCCCAGTAAGACACTATTAAAGTTTGTTACAGATATTACAAATATTTCCCCCAGTTCACCATTTATATTTTTACTTCATCTATGGGGGGATTTTGACATAAGGAAGTTTTTGTTTTTTGGCTTTGGGGCTTTTGTGGTAGTCAGAACCATTATTATTTCTTTCATGTTTTCTACCCTTAGAGTATTTAGAAATATTTATAATGTCCTCATACTCCCCAAGATCATAATAATATTCATTTATTTTCCTTCTAGAACATTTGCAGTTTCATTTTGTATATTACTTTGCATATGGTACAGGATAGAAATAATAATAACTAACTTTTATGAGGCACATTGTGCATGACAGTCACCCATTTTTATTTTTTTTTACACTCATTATCTCTTTTAATCCTCACAATCATAAGAGGTAGTCATTTTTACTACTTTGCCTTACAATATGGGAGAAATAAGGCTTAGGGAAGTTAAGTATCTTACCTGCTCTTATACAGCTAATCGGTGGCAAAACTGGCATTCATACTCCCAGTTTGTCTACTTTCAAAGATCTTAGTTATTGTTCTATATATTTCTGACTTCCTCCCAAAGTCTTTAGTCAGTTTTTCCAATATTGTTTGTTATCAAATCCAGCCTTTCCCCCCTCTAATAGAAATGTCACTCTCATCATTTAGTAGCATTTGATAAGTTCTTGGGTCTATTTCTGCCCTTTCTTTTCTGTTCTATTGATTCTTCAATCTATTCCTGTGCCAGTAACATACTGTCCTGGTGACTGCTGCATTATTTATACATTCTATTATCTGGTAGGCTAAGTCACTGCTAGATGCTCTTCTTTTTCAAAGTTTTCAGATTTTTTAATGACTTATTCTTCCAGAAACTCTTAGAATTATACTGCAAAGTCCTCAAGAAATTCCATTGAAGTGTTTGCTGAAATTGCCTTTAGAAATATTGGGGGGTGGGGATGTTCATGGTGCAAATAATCTATGAAAAATCCTTCACTTATTTTAACTGTTCTACGTTCCCACTTCTTGTTGTTGTTGTTGGTGGTGCCCAGGTTTCCTACAGGAAGACTAAATATATGCTATACTACTGAGCTACACCCCAGCCCAATCTCTCCCTTATTCTTTTTTTTTTATTATTATTATTACTGGGAATTGAACCCAGGGGCACTTTACCTCTGAGCTACACCCCCAGTCTTTTTTTACATTAGTAGCTTGAGACAGGTTCTCACTAAATTGCTGATTGGCTCCCTAAATTGCTGAGTCTGGCCTGAAATTTGCAATCCTCCTGCCTCAGCCTCTCTAGACCCTTCGATTACAGGCATGCCACAGGGCTCAGCTTCTCCTTTTTTTCTTTTTTTTAAAATATTTTTTAGTTGTCAATGGACTGTTACTTTATTTATTTATGTGCAGTATTGAGAATCAAACCCAGTGCCTCACACATGCTAGGCAAGCGCTCAACCGGAGCCACAACCCCAGCCCTTCTTCTTTATTCTTGATTGACATTCCCTCTTCCTTCCCATATAAACCCACTGTTCCATTTTGAAATGTGTCCTCAGAAATAGATATATTATAAAATACTACTGCTATTTTGTGTTTGTTTTATATTTACACAAACAATATTAGCTAGCCTATGATCTATTTCTGTTCCTTTTATTATTTTACTCAACGCTCTGTCTTTATGACCTACTCATGTTGCTATATATACAGATACAGGATAGAAATAATAATATTTCTAGTTCATAGGTCTAGTTCATAGGTCCTGCTTCTCAGCAACACTAGATGCACCCAAGTATTTCACACATGACGGATACCTACAATTAAATATTTGTCATTTCTACAACAAGATGCCATGAACATCCGGGAGCATCCTTACACTTGGCTGCATGGAAATCTGAGAACTCTCCAATGTACATACCCCAGGTTGGCCTTCTTTGTTGTCAGTAGTTGTATCCTTGACTTTCCCAATACTGCTTAATTTCCTTCCATAACATCTGTACCAGTTTGCATCCCATAATGAGGCAAAAGAATGCTCATTTCTTTTATTCTTACCATCACTTGTTATTCTCTAAGTTTTGCCCCTGTGGTAGATATAAAATTGTATCTCATTGATTAATTTGTATGTCATTCATTACTTGAAAATTTGAACTGGTATGAACTTCTTATGTTTATGAGTCATTTGCATTTCCCTCTCTGGAAAAATGTATGTCCTTCATCCATTTTCCAGTGTGTTTCCTGTCTTTTTTTGTGCTCTTTTATCTTTCATATATGGATATTTAATTCTTCTGAAATACAGATCAGCAGTGTGTCTTAGTTCGTTCATGACAAATGAACATAACAAAATACTTGAGGCTGGGCGCCGTGTCTTACGCCTGCCTGTAATCCCAGCAGCTTGGGAGGATGGTAGGAGGACTGCAAGTTCAAAGCCAGCTTCATCAATTTAGCGAGACCCTAAGCAACTCAGTGAGACCCTGTCTCTAAATAAAATATAAAAAGGGGTGGGGATGTGGCTCGGTGGTTAAGTGTCCCTGGGTTCACTCCTTGCTGCCAAAAAAAAAAAAAACACTTATGAGGCTGAGTAATTTATAAACAATAGAGACTTATTTCTCACAGCTCTGGAGGCTGGGAAGTACAGGATCAAGGAGCTGCTAGATTTGGTATTTGATGAAAACTGGGTCTCTGCTTCCAAGGTGGCACCTTCTACCATCCTCATATGGTAAAAGGCATAAGGGCAATTACCCCCAAATACTCTGTGAAACTTCTTTTATAAATATGTTAATCCCATTCACAAGAGAAGAGCCTCATGACCTAATCACCCCTAAAATCTCACTTGCACTATTACATAGGGATTCAATTTCAACATGAGTTTTGGAGGGAACACAAGCATTCAAAACACAGCAATAGGTGATAGGAGTCATACTTCACCTGGTGAAATAATTTTCCAGACACCATCTACTGAATCATTCCTCCATTCCATATTGATTTGTGGCATCATATTTACCCTATGTCATATTCCCATAGATGTACTGGGTTGTTTCTGAGCTCTCTGTTCTGTTCCTCAGATTATGGCTCTGTTGTCAAAGCATCACCATTCTGGTTTTACGCTATTACTTCAGATATGCCATCAAATCTGATTGAGTTAGTCTCCTCTTTTTGTCCTTTGTTTTTTGTTTTTCTTGGTTTTTGTTTTTGTTTTGGTGTGTGTGTGTGTGTGTGTGTGTGTGTGTGTGTGTGTTTGGTACCACTGAGCCACATTCCTAGTCCTTTTTATTTTTTATTTTGAGACAGTCTCAATAAGTTTCTTGCTAAGTTGCTGAGACTGGCCTCAAACTTGTGATCCTCCTGCTTCAGCCTCCCAAATCACTGGGATTGCAGGGTGTGCCATTGCTTTTGGATGGTTTTCTATGGACTTAATACATAGAAAAGTCTGCAACCTAACTCTCTTAAAACTGTGCTCTTGGGCTCAGTAGCAGAGTGCTTGCCTGGCATGTACAAGGTCCTGAGTTCCTTCCTTAAAACTTCAAAAAATAATAAAAATAAGTAAATAAAACTTCTCTTAAACCAGGTGCAGTAAACTTCTCTTAAACCAGGTGTAGTGGCACATGCCTATAATCCCAGCGACTCAGGAGGCTGAGGCAGGAGGATCTTGAGTTCAAAGCCAGCCTCAGCAAAAGCGAGGTGCTAAGCAACTCAGTGAGATCCTGTAGCTAAATAAAATACAAAATAAGGCTGGGGGTAGTTCCTCAAATGCCCCTCCTTGCTCTTGTATGTGTGTTAAAGCCCCTATTTCGTGAACCCATGGGTTGTCATAGAGATCATCCTTCAGGCGCTTACTGAGAAATGTAATGCCACATCTCAGATTAATATTCTGAGATGATGCATGTTAAAATGTATTTATTATCCTGTCATCCTTGGATCATGGTCTAATGAAATTTTTAGGATGGGAATCAATTTTTTTCTCAGAATTTTGAAGGCATAGCTCCATTGTGTTTCAGCTGCCAATATTTATGATGAGAAATCAGTGTCATTCTTATTCCCGACTCTATGGATGATCTATTTTATTTCTTTTGACATTTTTATTGTCTGTGTTCTGAATTTTATTAAGACTGGCTTGGTGTGAATCTTTCCTGCATAATTGTGCTGGGCAATTGGTAGGTCTTTTCAATTTGAAAACTCATCCTTTAATTCTGGAAAATAATTTCTTTCACCTCCTTGTGTGGCACTGAGGATTGAACCCAGGGGTGCTTTACCACTGAGCTATATTCCCAGCCTTTTAAAATGTATGTTTATTTATTTA